TAGTAATCTGGTAAAGTCGCGGTGTTATCGGATTGGACTGAACCGCTGATCGATTTCAGTCCATAATGGTACATACTGAATGGTGATTTAATTTCAGTTTATATCGATATGGATGGAATAGCATTTTTGACGGTAACATGTATATATAGCTGTCATAGGTAAGTTAATATCATCCTCTGTGCAAAGGATAGAAGGTGTGATATAGTCATATAGTGTACTTGTGTAATAACGAAAGGAAACCATTATTATAAAGTATTATTACTACAAACTACGATAATGCTATATAAGCCTATATAAGCCTGTCAGCGTCGACAGTAAAGCGATTGCATGAAGTGCTGTTTAAAGTATGAAGTCAACGTAAGCGGAAGCCTAGTTTATTCGTAGGTCTGACTCCTGCAAAATCAGATTGTATATATGTAATAGAATATTCAGCAACAAGTATTTTCGAAATGTCATTTTTCAATACACGTGCGACAAAATAAGGACCGTTCTCTGCGGGAAGATGAAACGTCACGACTAAAGCCATTTGCACTGAAGGAAAGCAAGGAGATTGAACAACAGAATTGCTTGCAAACTGTGACTGATGGATAACAGATGAGGGGGTGGGGAGAATTTGTTCCCAAGTACATATTTCTAGCATGTATTAGTTTCTAAGTGAATCATTTTATGTGAGTCCTTTCGTAAAATTGTCTGTCCTGTGAACAGACTGGTACCACCGATCGTATAAGCCGAAAAAAGTGCAGATATAATTTTAAAGATACCGCCAGAGCATGGATGGTAAACAACATTATCCATGTTATCTTTGGAATGCCATTTTCAATTAGTCCGAACCATTGTGGCTAAAGCAGAGCTGAGTCTGAAAACTAAGCTCTCGGTATTCAAGTCGATCTTCATCTCCATGCTTTTCTACGGTTATGAGTCGTGCACTATGACTGAAAAACTTCGATCCCGGGAACAAGCATCTGAAATGTGCTTTATGAGACGAATTCGTCGGTCTCATGCGTCTCGACAGGATCCAGGGAACAGGTATCTGAGAAAAGCCTTGGTGTGCAGCCTCTGCTTCTTCAGGCTGAGACGTCACAGCTGCGATGGTTTGGGCATTTTTTGGAAATGCCTCCAGAAAGGAAGGCTAAGCAGCTGCTCATCGCTGAACCGACAGGCGGATGATCCCGAGGACTACCAACAAAGACCTGAGGCTATGTCTGGACAGACTCGGCTTCAAACTAACGGGCTTTGTTCTGCCGGGACTCAAACGATGGCCCAGGATCGGGAACCCTGGAGACATTCTCTGACGAATCTGCCTCCGTAGCCAAAATTACAAACGGTCATCGAAACTGACCGATTTACATTATCCCTGTGAACAGTCAATTACGCTTTTCGTTGTTGCATTCACGCATAACAATGTGCATGGCGCATACAACAGAATAGACATGCATGATATAAACCGGTGTTTATCGTTGTCATCCGCTGGTGGCAAATAAACAGAAAAAAAGTTACTCAGAGAACAATTAGAAAAAAATAAATGCTGAGTCGTAGATTTTGCCAAACGTAGATGAAACTATACGCCAAGAATCAGTTGCAAAAAAATTTACATCTAGTTTATCGCGTCGAATCGCGCTGGTGTTGGTCGCACGGCACTCATTACGAGTCGAACTTGTTTGCTGTTGCCTCGCAATGCATCCTTGCTACCTCATGAAGTTCCTCAGCGTTGTCCACGGACAGCTGAGGTTCGCATGGCTTGAAATTCTCCGGCACACCTGATCCGTTGCGACTGGTTTCTATTTCGTGACCGGTTATTGCGTGGGGCCCCGGCTTTCACTGGGGCGAAACAGCCGTATCCGCTCCTGAAGTCACTGCCGCTGCTTACGATGGATTTGCAGACGTTTCTTCCTTTATTCCTGAAAACTTTGCCAAATAGGTATGTTAGTTCTGACGTTCTACCGAACGTTAGAAGCGATGTTACTCAGGTACTTGTGGCAGTAGTTTCGAAAGGGACACAGTAAAATGGTGCCTACATTTCGTATGATTAGTTGCTCTTAAAATGTGAGCTCGCACCATGGAGTACGTGGATAAACGAATTACGGCTCGGCTTTCAGAGCATAGGGTATCCGCATTCGTTGTTCCTGGATGGCGTGATACAAATGAAGCAGACCACATCGCTTTGGTACTGTGCTTGAGTACCTCAAGTACCTCACTTCAGCTTGGAACGTGAGTATTTGGCCGTTGCAAACCATGTTTCAACAACAATCGGTGCTTTTGCGAATCGTCATATAAATATTACTTCGTAGCAGCATTATATTCATAAGTGTGCAGTTGCTCCATAATCGAGTTTCGGAAGCGGTTCTTCGCGTATTAGCATATAGTGGCGGACGAATTCATATTTTGCGTGTTCAGATACAACGAAGTCTCATCGTTTCGATCAGACTTAGGCAATGAGGCTCAGAAGTTCGATTTTACTATGAAACAGCTTATGAAGGCGTGGTTCGTTTATAATGTACGTTTCATGTGCGTTGCGAGGTAGCTTTGAACAAACAAACTGATGCAAGGTGCATCTGACACTACAGGTGCTCAAGTGCCATGGAGGCATGACCTGGTTAAATGCCCTCGCCCCTCTCGGGGCTACAATGAGCAAGCGCGGCGCCATACGCCGTTAAACATGGTTTTGGAAGAGTTATGCGTTCTTATGTATAATTTGCATGATGTCTCGAATCACGTTTGCTGGTTGTTTGCTTATTAGCAAAACAGTTCTGTATTTTGGGAACTGATTTTGACTAGTGCTCTGAAGAATTATTGACACTTGATTATTGTTATTACAGGTGTTCCAGCCCTATGCAAATTCATACTTCTCTCTACACCTTAGTTGTTAGACATATGCATCGTCGGTGCATAGGTGCATATCTTTGCCTTATTGCTCCCTACAGTTAAGAGCTAAGAGGTCCAGTATGGTTATTTCACCGCCAGAAGAATTGGACAGCTTTTGAATTCTACACGATGGCGTAGTGCAGGAGTGCGACCCTTGAGCCTAAAGTTGTTTCTGCAGAATATGACGCTGTGAATTTCTGGTTTCCATATTTCCTTTTCAGTTCCAGCAACCGACTTCTGAAACACTTTTAGCTTCTATTGGTGTTTAGTTGAGAATGGTATACTTGATATCGAGAATGCGAGGCGTGGACTCTGAGTTTGAAACTTTTGACAAACTACTTCTAGGTATGGTGAGACGGGAGGTATATGTTGAAAACTGGACGAGGAAATAACAAGCCTGTTATGTTACTGCAAGAGCAAGAAACTGTTGACCAAACCCTAGACATGTTGCAACAAGAAGTGACCATCTCTGTGTAAAATGGATATTGTGAAATGCGTTCCAAAAGGCGAGAAATTTCTCATTTTCTAAAAGGAAAGGAGGGAAATGTCTGTAACCACTGAGGTATCAATCTCCTTTGCAGTTTTACAGCGTAGCGCCATTTGTAACGCCTTCTTTCGTGGATTTTACGATATTCAATTCAATTTCTATTTTTGTGTCATCAGCCAGAAATACCTTGTTGTCGTTTCATAAGGCTGCATTTACAGCTAGGTAACCATATAGGGTCTGGTTCACGGAGATGACAGGCGGGTGACCGAACTGGCTGCGAAACCAAAACCTCTCGATTATGGGTCCTACGCCATAGCCATTGAATAATGGTGTGAAATATTCTGTACAAAACTGCTGGTTGATTAAAAGACGAGCTTAAGAAATTTTTTTGAGGTACAACATGGACAAGAGTCGTAAGAGACGTAATTTTGTAGCAAGATATTGGAAGAAGCTTCATACAAAAAGACTGAATAAAACCATTGATAAAGAGAACAATTGTAATGAGGCGTTGTGATTAAGGCCCATGAACTAGAAGCGTCGTCGTTAGTAGATGGAAGGTCACTTGATCACTTGTCAACGTTTGTAAAACCCTAATCATTCATCAGAACTTTTCGCCACTGTTAAGAAATGTTAGTTGTCGCAAATTTTTGTGGAACAGCTGAGAAAACCATGTTTTTTTAATCGTAATTGCTTATTTAGATGTCAAAATAGTTCAATGAATGGAACATAGCGCATCTGACAGTTGTAAAAAAAAGAGTTCAAGTCCCAGCTATGTAGTTGTTTGATCATTTTGAGGTCGATAAATGAGTGCCATGATGTGTGAAATCTGTGCTTAGACGTTTCCTTGAAAAACTACCACGTTCTTTGTGGCATCGTTGCTCAGATTAGCACTGCACCGATCGCTTTACGGAGGAAAGGGTCACGAATTGCGGCCTTCTTGAAAGCATGCGGCAGATCGACATCCCAGTTGTTGCAAACTTGCAGTCCGACTGTTCTCATCAATGTGTCGAAAATAGATGCAGAAAGTAGTTAAAAATAGGCCCCCCAGGGCAGAGACAGTTGCGCAATAGGTTA